CATACATCTTTTATTATTCAAATTTAAGAATTAAAGGATTTTTGCCAGTGTCAGTACATTATTCTATCCAAGAAACATCTGCATTCTTTACTAGGATTACAGTTCATGTTCAGAGGGTTATGTTGGGTGGAAGACAGCTCACATGATAATGTTAAAATGATATATGATGATAATGTTGTATGATGAAAATGTTGTATGATGATAATGTTGTATGGTGAAAATGTTATATGTTGATAATGTTGCATGATGATAATGTTCTGTGGTTCATCATACAACATCAACATCATACAACATTATCAGCATACAACATTATTAATATGTACAATATTATGATCATACAACATTATGATCATACAACATTATGATCATACAACATTATGATCATACAACATTATCATCATACAACATTATCATCATACAACTTTATCATCATACAACATTATCATCATACAACATTATCATCATACAACATTATCATCATACATCAAGGCTATATAAGAGAGGGAAAAACACATTTTATGGGCTGCCGGCCATTTAGCATTTTCAAGACTTTGACCGGTAACCGGCCATATAGACACAGCGTATTTGTAAATTAACGTAATATAGATGTCCTTTTTTAAATATGTCCAATAAATAACACATGTCACATAAATATTATGACAGCCTAAATCCCATGTAAACATTGTCTTCTGAGTTATATGCTCTCCGAATAGCCCTGACCACACATGCAGGCACAACTTTTCTGTTCCCCCTACCTAATTTGCCATATTTCCAGAGGATATATGTCCTGTAGGCTGTCTTGCGGTATCCATTCATGGAATAGTGTGGAAAATCTGCTCTTATATCACATCGAGCACGGATAGCTATTTCCAATGCCAGTCTATCGATACATGAGTTGTGGAAAGCTCAATAGGATGTTACACATCTTGCCTTTATTATTTTTATCTTGCACTTATTTTCCTCTTCATTGGGCATTGCCTCGCCAACTCCACATATGCACCATGCCAAATGGTTGTTCCTGGGTTCTGGAGGAGGCTCATCAGGATTTTCCAGTTCATGGACAATGTTTTGGGCAAAATCAAGGCTTCCACGACCCTGGCTAAGTACCCTTATGAGTAGTCTGGTTTTCATTTCTT